CATTCAACTCCTTTCTCCTGAAAAGCATTCAGCTGCCCATCAGTGGGAAGTTCCAGAATAGAGAAAATAAAGACGATGCCCCAGAATATTTTCTTCCAGTGCTTAGAATGCCCCCAACTCCCAGGGATCCAGGGTCTTCAGAATATAAACCACTGAGTTTATATTTTGGACAGCCAAGGTAAACCTGCTTATGTGGGATGCTTTTCCCCTGCAAATAACAATTTAGGCAGAGACCAGAAATGGCAGTCAGCAGGGGTTCCGGTCCTGGCACCCCATCTCCTGCCCATGGAACCAGCGGGGAGCATGGCTTTCTGAGCACCCAGGCTCTGCACCAAATCCAGATGTGATCGACCATCCCTCGCAAGGCTGTCGTACTTCACTGAGACGTGCAAGCACACTCTCAAGCCTGAAGTGCCATACAATTATTATTTTTAATGTACTTATCTATCAGGGAATATTTAAATTATCTCCCAGAGCCTAGATTAGTATTGAAAACGTAGAGTCCCTAATTGCCGTAAATTACCAAGGATGCTCGTGGGAAAAATGGGGAGTAGTTAAGTGCTAGCCCGTGAAATCATGCAAGTGCAAAGCAGTTACTAGCGCGCCTGAGACCACTACTCTCAGAAGGGCCTGGAGCCCTTCCCCCGGGGTCTGGGGACCTAGATGTCGAGAGGGTGGCCTCCATTCCCTGATAAGAGCAGCTCCCTGTGCCTAAGCTGTGCTACACTACGGTTCACGCTGAGCGCTTGCTTTCCTTCTGGGACTCTGGAATTTGGGGACGTGCTTCTCAGAGGTGTGTACATGACCCCAGGGAAAGTCCTGGGCACGGAGACCTGCCCCGGCCAGTCAGGGCACCTGGGCGGGGGGGGGGGGGTGCTCAGTTGGTTGAGCATCTGACTCTTGGTTTCAGCTCAGGTCATGAGCTGGGGTCATGGGATCGAGCCCCGTGTCGGGCTCCAGGCTCAGCAGGGAGGCTGCTTGAGATTTTCTCCCTCTGCCACTCTCCTCTGCTCATGTGCGCTCTCTCTCTCTCTCTCTCTCGCTCTCTCTCGCTCTTCCTGGGTCTCTCAAATAAATGAACAAATCTCTTTTTAAAAAGCTCTTTTTTTAAAAGAGAGAGCATATCCAGTAGACAACTTTCCACATGTGTCGTCACACCTTACTGCTGGGGAACCAGTGGGTCCACGTGACTTCACAGGAGAGGGTTTAGAAGCTTGTGTTCTGGTGTCCTCCTAGCAAATCACCAACCTGGGGCTGGCCTCAGAGACCCTGACGCACAGCTTCCAGTTCTGGCAGGACCAGCACAGCTGACGCACACATGCCTGGCTGGAGGGCAACACTGCTCTGTAGACTGCATGTCATTAAAATGTCCATATCTGGGACGCCTGGTGGCTCAGGGGTTGAGCGTCTGCCTTTGGCTTAGGTCATGATCCCAGGGTCCTGGGATCGAGTACCGCATCGGGGTCCCCGCAGGGAGCCTGCTTCTCCCTCTGCCTGTGTCTCTGCCTCTCTGTTTCTCATGAGTAAATAAATGAAATCTTTTAAAAATAACATAAAATGTCCATATCCTTTGGCTCAGTCATCCCCTTCCGGGAATCCATCCTGGTGAAACAATTCAACAGAAAGAAGCACAGCGATATCCATCAGAGCTAATGCTAAATCCGGAAACCAGGTAAATGCCCAAGAACTGGAAAAAATGGCTAAGTGAATTGTGACACCCCAATTCTAAGAAGCTGATTAAAGTGAGAAGTATAAAGATCATGAAGAAAAACGTGAAAAGAGGTTTCTGATGCTAAATTTTTTTAAGCTGAAGGCAAAATGGTGAGTGAGTTGACAGCAAAGAAGGAGCAAACGGTAAGATCAAAAGCGACTGTTCAAAAGTGAAATGATTGGGATGACCAGGGGGTGTGGGCTGATCCACACATTACCTTGAATGTTGCTGTCCTCATAATCTCAGAACTTTCTGGGGACTTGGTAGGAGCAGCTGGGAAGGTGTGGACGGTGGCCCCGGAATCCTTTGGCTTTCACCACCTTTTATGAAGCCTTGAGGGTGTCTGCAGGGGGACACCTCACCTGCACCAACAGAGGTTGGTGTTAAGCCCAAATTTTCATCTGGGAGGGGGTGGATCTCGGAGACAGGAGGAAGGCCTAAACCAGGCAGGCAAACCCAGGGCAGCCCCTGCAGGGGAAGGGGCGGGGCCTACGGGGAGGGGCGAGGCTTCCCCCGCCAGCCCCCCACACCTGCCCCGCCGGGCGGAGCCTCACTTGGCTGGGCTAATCCTTCCAGGTTGCGACCACCTGGCCCAGTGGGACCCCGCCTGTCATTGCACACCAGGGCCCAGGCTTTAGAATTTACCAGAACCTACAAATCCATCTTGGGGGGGAACACCTGGGTGGCTCGGTGGTTGAGCATCTGCCTTCAGCTCAGGTCATGATCCCAGGGTCCTGGGATCGAGTCCTGCATCCCGCGGTGGGGGGGAGCCTGCTTCTCCCTCTGCCTATGTCTCTGCCTCTCTCTGTCTTTCATGAATAAATAAATAAAATCTTTATTTAAAAAAATCCTTCTTGGGTATGGGAGAAATCCACTAAAATACAGCTCCAGTAGCCCCCAAATGCAAGGATTTTTGTCCTATCCTGGAGAGTTGTATGTAAAGTTACATCACAAGGTGTGATGTGGGGTGTGGAAGGGGCAATGACTTGCTCAAGGACACCCAGCAAGTCACAAAGCACCACAGACACCCAGAGTCCTGATTCTCTTTGAGGAGGAGGGGATGGGTCCCCCAGGCTGGGGCTTAGGGAGACCACCCAGAGTGGATCTGGACACTTTTCCAGGTCAGTGACTGAGGAAACGGAATGTGTTCCAGCTGGACTAGCAGGAGAGGTCTTTTTGCCCCCAACATTTTATTTTGAAAAATTTCAAACATAGAGAAACACTGAAAGTAGGGTACCGTGAATACCCATATACCCATGACCTTGATTCCACAATTACATTACAATAATATTTTGTTGTATTTGCTTTGTCACATTTCTATCGATCCTGCTACCATCTGTCAGTAAATGGCTTCTGAATCAAAGACTAGCCCCCACAGAAGTATTCAGTCCCTACATACATCAAGCACTTGGTCATCCTGGATGCCCCTGCTGGCCTTTTGGTCTTGTCCCTTGTCTCTGGGGCTTGGGGCCAGGGGACCTGGGCTAAGGTATCTGAGCAACCGAGCTGCTCCATGCCACAGCCTGTGGTCGTCTTATGAGAGGTGTCCCTTGCCGCAGGGACTGCCCTCTGTAAACACACTCATGCGACCCCTTCCAGAGGTTTGTGGAGGTCAGATCAGAGCTGCCACTCTTCGGCGACTAGTGGGGGCCTGTCCTGGCTGCACCAGGGCACATCCACCGAAAAGAAAATAGCCACCAGAGAAGCCTGTTCCAGGGTCCAGGGGGTTCACCCAGTTTATCTTTACTGGGAGAACTTCAAGGTCACTGAAGGCCAGGCTGCATGTCCCAGCTCTGGGGGAAGAAGAGAGGAGAGAGGACAGACAGCCCCCACCAGCCCCTCAGCCTCTGCTTTGGGACTAAACTAATGTCCCAGAAGGTCACATCACTCGGCGCCGCCTCCTCAGGCAAATGCTGGCCGCTGTCACCCCATCTCTGTTCCAGCCCTCGGCCCAAAGCCAGTGCGGGCCTCCCCACTGCTCACCTGGGCCATGGCCGTGGTCACTCCCCTGCTTTTTCTTTCCCGATGCTTCTTTGCCTCAGCAGCGTCTCTCTCTCCCTTGTGCGCTAACTCGAGGCACAGCTCCGACCAGCCCTGTGGTCCTGGGGCCCCACCCACCAGCTTCAGACCTCGCCTCCCCCCTCTACATCCCCCCAATACTGGTGCTCCCTCCCACATCCACGCTTTTCCTCCTTGCCCCAGTTTTTCCACCTGGCAAATCCTCTTGCCCTCTTCACTCCTTGGCCCCTCCTTCTGGAAAGCAGATCCAGTGCGAGCTCAGGTGCATTGGCTGACCCGTCCCCACACCCTGGGGCGCCAGACATACCTCCTCGAGCAGGGCTTTGTGGGTGCTTAGTTGACGGGGAACCCGTTTTCCAGCTATACAGAGAAGGGAGCAACACGCCCAGCTGGATCGGCCCACAGAAGAGTTTCAGGAAAAGATCCGGGAATCTGCCCACATGGACAGGGACAGGGGACAGCCCGAAGCTGGGAGACCTGGCAGCAGGTGAGGGCGGCGTGTGCAAGAAGCTCAGCTGAGCCACAGCAGGAGGGGCCCGGGGCCACAGAGCCACTCGGGCCCCGCTGGCTGAGAGCAGATTCGCAGTCGGAGGCTCAGAACACCAGTTCCCCTTGATTCCTTCAGAAAATCTAAATTCAAGGCCAAGCCTCGGCTAGTAACTGCGTGGCCTTGGACAGTCACCTAATCCCGCTGGCAAGGGCCTTGGTTCCTTCCTCTGTAGAACAGAGTCCGAAATACCTGTCCTGGGGGATCCGGAGGGTTTAGCAAGATGAAGGTGGTGCTTTGTAAACCCTCCAGGTTTTTGCAGCTAGACCAGGTATGAAGGTACAGTGTCACCCATTTCCCCTTGCTGCCACGTGCTCGCAGCCTCCTCCAACAGAGAAGCAGAGCATCGCACTGGCATCTTCTCTGTAGCTCACGAAGCACCTCCATCCACCTTCTGGTGGGAGCCCATGTCCCCAGGGGAGCCCAGTGGGTTATTATGGTCCTTTCACACGCCCCAAGCGGGGCAGAGCGGCTCAATTCCATGTGGCAATTGGGAGGCCAGGGCCCCAACACCCCGCCATCCTGTCTAGGAGCCAGGGTCTTTCCTCACTGACCCAGAAATCAGGGCTTTGGTCCCCCCCCCCATGCTGTTTTTGAGGTCTCCGGCCAGGGGCCAGGGGGCCAGGGGCCCTGGGGACAGAGCTGAGGGCAGCTGAGCTGGGCCTGGTACAGACGCAGAAAGTCTCTCCACCCCCTGGGGTCAGATGTCACACACACTTGGGAGCTGGCCCGTCCCCTGGACAACCGTCAACACAGGCAGAAGCTCAAAACACAGCTCGGCTCCAGCGCTCTCCCCGCTGACTTCAGCCACTCCGAGCCTGGGGCCTGGGGGGCAGCGGGGAGGACCCCGCCCAGGCTCAGCCCGGAGCCTCTCTCTCCTGTGTCTCTCTCGATCTCTCCACTTCTCTGTCTTTCTCTGTCTCTCTCTGTCTCCCCATCACACCCGTACCCATGGGGAGCCCCCCCACCCCTGGGTTCCAGAAAACCACGTCCGCTGGGTACCGGCTGCCCTCAACCAGGCCACCAGCCATAGATTCCTGCACTGCCCGAGGTGGCCCCGCGGTGGGCAGGGGTCGCCAAGCCCCCCAGGCCCCAGAAGCGGAGCGCTCGGCCCTGGGAACGAACGGTGTGCAGCGGGACCAGCTGTGGAGGGAGCTCTTGGAGGCCGAGAGGAGGGGCCAGCAGCGCTGGTGAGTGTCCTGCCTGACCCTCGGGGTCTAGGAAGCTTCTGGAAAAAGAGAGACCCATGAGAAGGAGTAAGCAGGCAAACGTGTTGGCGTCAAAGTGCTCGGGGCCACGAGTTGGGGAGAACACGCCCGGCCAGACTGGAGCGGAGGGTGGGAGGGAGAGGTCACTCTGGGGTCCCATCTGCCTTTGAATAATCCCTCCAGCTGGAGCCCCAGGGATAGACTGGGGGGCAGCAGTGGGGGGGGGGCCCTCGCCCTCTGACCCAAGGGAGAGACATCCCTTCAGGCATCCGTTCAATCCAGACATTCCTGTCAGGCTGCGACAAGGGACAACACAGGCCGACACCTGGCTCCTGGGAGCCCCCAGCTCAGGACAGGGCCGCCACAAAGCAAGTCGAGAGACAAGAAATAGTGTGGCGAGTGTCATGGAGCGAGGGGAGGGTGGGCGCCTTCTTTCTACAGGGTGCTCACAGAGGCCTCTCTGAGGAGATGGCCCAGAGGCTGACGGGAAATGTGAGAAGGGGCCACGGGGAGTCTGGTGTTTTAAAAAACAGAACAAAACAAGACAGTCCATGTGGCTGAGGCAGTCTGCGAGGGGACAGGAGCCTCAAGATCAGACATAGGGGACACCTGGGTGGCTCAGTGGTTGAGGGCCTGCCTTTGGCTCAGGGCGTGACCCCGGGGTCCTGGGATCGAGTCCCACATCGGGGTCCCCGCAGGGACCCTGCTTCTCCCTCAGCCTGTGTCTCTGCCTCTCTCTGTGTCTCTCATGAATAAATCAATAAAATATTTTTTTAAAAAAAGAAAACTTTAAAAAAAAGATCAGAAGTAGGAGGAACATGTCATATACTGCAAAAGGTCATATTTTTTTAAATGTAATGAGACACCATCAAGGGTTTCGAGGAAGAGCATGGTGTGATCTAGCCCAAGATCTGTGGGAAAACTCGAGGAATGGCTTCATGGTAGCGTTATGAGAACCGCTGATGGATTAGAGTAGAGGGTGTGTGGTGTGTCTGTGGTGTGTTGGTGGATTGGGGTGTGTGCATGTGTGTGGCGTGGGGGCATATGTGGGGCATGGGGGTGTGGCGGGTGTGTGTATGTGTGTGTGGTGTGTATGATATGTGCACAGGATGTGTGTGGGGGGAGTTGTGTGTGTACACGTGTGTGTGGTGTGTGTAAGGGGGTGGGGGTATAGGGTGTATGTGTGTACATATGTGGTATGAGGGCTGTGAGACTGGAGGGTGTCTATGTGGGGGGGGTGTGGTGCATGTGGGGTGTGTGTGGGGTGTAGGCAGGGGTGGGGGTGCAGGGGACACTTACAAGGAAGGGCTGTCGACACAGTAAGGGGCCTGGGGAGAGCAGGAGCCGGAGACCTGAGCAGAGGTGGGAGTGGGGTCCGGGTCCGAGTCGCCACAAGGACCGTGGGAGGAGCGCCCTGCGGGGCGGGCGGGAGGCCACCCAGGAGGCCGCTGAGCATCAGCAGTCAAGAGCTGGATGCAGGACCAGGGGACAGAGGGCCGGGGGGCGGCCGGGGGATGGCCGGGAGGTGGCTGGCATCACGGGAGGGACAAGGGCAGCGAGTGACCGCTAAGGGACGTGGGGTCGCTCTAGGGGGTGACGAAAGGCCGGTGCCGGCCACGACTCTGAATATGTGGGAACCGCTGGACCATCCCCCCTACAGGGGTGACCCTCACGACCTGCGTGTGCCCCCAGCAAGGAGGGGCACGAGAACCTGGTGCTGGGACCCCCGGGCTGTCCCTGGAAGGGGCCTTGTGTCCCCAGAGACGAGGTCCTAGACCCAGTGGGCACACGCACTCCCTCCAGGGAACTGAGATGAGCCCCGGACAAGAAAGGGGTCACAGACCGCAAGAGGGGAGAGTTTAGGGAAACCCAACAGAAACACCATATGAGCCACACACGAAATACTCCGTATTCTAATGGCAGCCTTAAAAAATGTAACGAGGAACTAGTGAAATCCATTTTAATGATGAATCTCATCCAAAGTATCATCTTTTTGGTACATCGTCAATATTTGAAAAGGTATTTGGGAGATCATCTGACCTTCGTCTTTGCTCTGAGCCCTTGAAACCAGGTCTGTGTCTTACCTCCTACAGCCCTGAGAGGTGCTCCACACACCCGTTCCCCCCGGGGTTTCTCTAGATGGGGAAACTGAGGGCCCGAGAACACAGTGGCCTGGCTCAGGGCCCCCCAGCGAGCAGAGCAGGCAACGAGCAGCACAAAGCCGGGGACCCGGCGTCCCCTCTCCCACGTCACTGGCTCTCACTGAGTCCTAGTGTGGCTCTGAGGTCAAGGTCGCTGCCTTCGGTGAGTTCAAGACCAACACTATTGAAACGTGGCTCCCTGTGACAAGACAGGGAGTGGTGGCGGGTGAGGGGATCAGGACACCTGGGGAGGATTGGAGGAGGTTGAGTGGGCAGGCAGAGAGGGAACAGGGTCCCCAGGAAGGGGTGGCTGGGGAGGGCCCCAACGTCTCAGGAGGGTGATGGGCTGAAGACAGGGGGAACCAAGAGACAACTTGAAAAAGAATCCAAGAGAACCTCTAGAGAAGAATCTGTAATGTTGAGGGGCATCTGGGTGGCCCCAGGGATGAGCATCTGCCCCCAGCTCACGGCATGATCCCAGGGTCCTGGGATCGAGTCCTGCATTGGGCTCCTTAAAGGGATCCTGCTTCTCCCTTTGCCTCTGTCTCTACCTCTCTCTGTGTGTGTGTCTCTTGTGGATAAATAAATAAGATCTTCAAAAGGAAAGAAAAAAATCCTTTAAAAAAAATACAACTGAAATGAGAAACCATAAACTCAGCTTCATCACAATTATCCAAAAAGACAAGGAGAGGAAGCAGACGGAAAAGGAATTGGAACCCTAGAGAACGGGACAAGAAGGTCCAACATACCTTTCAACAGAGCTCCCCAAGGGAAGGCAGGGAAAGATGAAATATTGGAGGAGAAAGTGTCTGAGAATTTTCTAGAACCAAAGAAATGCAGGCATCCACAGACCCTGGAGGATGTGCTCCACAGCAGGGGAGTAAACAAGAAAGGAAGGCCCGAGACCCCGAAAGAGGGAACCCCTGAGTGGGGTTTCAGGAGGGCAGGGCAGGGCAGGGCAAGCCCGGATCCGGGACGGCAGCCTCTAGAGAAGAAGCGGGAAAGAGACGTGGATTACCTGTTGCGTTTGACTGCGTGGAAGACCATACCGGGAGGGGCTTTATGATTTTGCTAGAGAGTTTCAGTGATCTGTACACAGAAAGCTAAGAAAAAAAAGTGATTATAACTCTAGAAAAAAATTCCACGTTGTCCAAGGCAGGATCTGGGATCCTATAATCCAGGATAGTTGCTTAGTGAACGGTGTTTACAGAATCCTAAGGATATAAACGATACATGTTGGTTCAGCCAAAATCTAGAATATAGTCATTTGTGGAAGAAATGAGGGAAGGGAAGAGGGGCAGGAGAGCTAACTCATAATCAATTTTCCCATGAGAGGGACCCCTGGTGGCTCTGTGGTTGAGCGTCTGCCTTCGGCTCAGGGCGTGATCCGGGGTCCTGGGATCGAGTCCCACATCCCTGCGGGGGAGCCTGCTTCTCCCTCTGCCTGTGTCTCCGCCCCTCTCTCTGTGTCTCCCATGAATTAATAAACAAAATCTTAAAAAGGAAATTCTCCCACAAGAGGAAGTCCACAGATATGTCTATAATTTCAAAAACTCAAGAAATAGTAGCCTAGATTTATTATTCCGGAATGGGGTGGTGACAGGCCCAAAGAAACAGCGAGAGGGCTGGAAGCCTGACCGGAGGCTGTGGGGTTTGAGGATCGGGGGCAGAGAAAACCTGTTTTTATGATAAGTCTTACAGAACTCTTCAACTTCTTAAAAACAGATTAAACTAAAAATTAAATTAGCAGCCCAGGTAATGCCCTTCTTCCCATCGTCACCATCCTGGTCTCCTGCCCCATCCCTACCTTCTGCTGCCCACACTGGAAGGCCACAAAAAAAAAAAATTGAGGGAGCGATCACTGGCTTTTCTTCACGAAATCCTTGAGGGCTCCCACGTGGGCAGAGGCACACGGGGAGCTCGCCCCCACCTTCCCCGCCGCCGCTGCCACCTCCTCTGGCGCCAGGCCTCCCGCTCCGGGAAGCATCAGGTATTGAGATACTTGCCTGGTTGAGAGGCCACGCCATAAATACGTGGCTGGTTGGGGGTGTCTGTTGCACTCGATTTTTTTTTTTAGCTCCTCCGTGATGTAATAAATGCATCCGTGGCATCGACTCGTTCCCTTGATACAGAAAGTCATTTGCGAAAAAAATGTCACGGGAAGCTGTAACGCTGCCCACGAGTTTTCCTTTCCAGGGCTCAGCACTGGAGTTTCCTGAAAGACTACGATCCCCTGGTAAGGCCAGTGACGCGTCACTGCATCTAACGCTGATGGAGGCCCTACTGTGTGCTAGAAGCCGGAATGTACAGAGGCCAAAAAAAAAAAAAAAATACACTTTCTTGTCTCGAGAAACTCGGGGTCTGGGGGAAAGAAAATGCGTAGAGCATTCAGTTTTCCGCAGCGTTTCTCGGGTTTATGGAGATGAACCGACTGGGAAAGATAGACGTCTGCTTCGGAAATGTCCTGCCCCGTATGAGGATGCCAGCCGAGGAGAGCGAGCGATGTGTGGTGTGCCCCGCCGGAGATGAGCTTGGGTGACCCCACCTCGCAAGCCAATTCCCTGCTTCTCATGGCGCCACCTCCAATCCGTCCTCCACGTCGCTGCCGGAGTCAGTTTCCTAAACCACAAAACTGACCCTGAGTTAAAATCCTGCTTAAAATCCTTCCGTACACCTGTGTTTCCCAGGGTGGCTCAGGAGGCTTCCCAGGATCTGACCTGCACCCCCGACCCCCACCCTGACCTCCACACCCCTTTTAGCCACGCCTCTGTGCATGCTGTGCCCCTGCCTGAAATGTGCTTCCGCCTTGTCAGGCTCATTCATCGCTCAGATGCCTCCTGCTGAGAAATCTCTCCTTCCTGGGGGAGCTGGATCAGGTCCCCCTGTTCCTCACCCACTGGCAGATCCAGCCCAACTCCCTGGCTATCGCAGGTCGGGTTTCACCCACCAGTTTCTCCGGGTGGCGGCTGGGGACCCCGCCCATCAGCCATGCCTTACCCCCCAGCACCCGATAAATATTTTTGCACTCTGTTGGGTGAATGACCAAATGGGAGAATGAGTCTGGCTGTTAAGAAAGGTCAGAGAACCAACCTGGAAAATGAGCAGCGAGCGTAGCAGGTCAACCAAGACGGTGGCCGCGCCCTGGCAGGTTGAGGGAAGGCTTAACGTCTACGTGCCCAGCCTGCGGGCTCGCTGTCTGCCTGGGGAGAGAAGGTGTGGGTCCCGAGACGTGAGGTCCCACCCTGAGCTCCTGGACTGGGCTTCCAGCCGAGGCCTAGGGATTAGCAACCTGACCACTGACACCTGCATCGCGCCCAGAGGTGTGGGGCCACCTGGGCCCGGACTTTCCCACGTGAAAGCGAGGATCCTGTTACCTCGCTGGTCCCATAACCTCTATTTGAGCCAGAGTAGCACAGACTTAACCCCCAACCCAAGGCCTCATCAGATTATTCTCACATCATACATTCACTCACTCGTTCACCTTCCAGTCCCAGAAGTCACCAGAAACATGAGTGCGAATGTTCAGACCCCCCAGACTGGGAACAAACCCAAATGCCATCCACGAGGTGGGTAGATAACATGGACCGTTCACACAAGCCCCACGATGGTGGACCGTGGAGCGAGGACAGCAAATGGGCTGTGGTCACAGCCGAAACCATGCACGGACCTTGAAAACACGTTCCCGAGAGACAGGAGCCAAGGTCTTATTAAGATGAAGTTCAAAGGATTTAGAGATTGTGGCAGGTGGGATTTCTTGATCTGGGCCGCGCTGCTCAGACCTGTTGTAGAGGCCTGTGGAGCTGGACGGTTATGATTTAGGGACGTTTCTGTGTGTGTGTCAGCCTTCAGGTGAAGAAGTCACCCCCAAACAAACCAGCCCTCAGGCACTCCCACCATAGGCGAGGCAGGGTCTTAGGTGGTGGGGATGGAGATTGGAATCAGACAGGGTCCCTCCAGGGTCACTGGAGGCCAAGGCTCAAAGGGGAGGGTTCGGGGGAGCATCTGAAGTAGGGAGCCCAGGCTGAGGAAGGTGCAGTGGGCCTCAGTTGAAGGGTCTCGTGACCCTCTGGGCTCCTGGGGCCAAATTGGGGTGGCAGCTGCTGGAAGCTGCCTGAAGAGGCCACCTGCTTCCTGAACCCTTGCCTGCCCCGCCCCCCTCCCCTGGGATGGTCCTGGCCCCCTGCAGGCCTGCCCTGGATTCCATGCAGCTGGTGACACAGACTGTCCCCTCTCCCCAGGGCAATAAGAAGGAGCCCGTGAAGCTGCCAGAGTATGTGCCTCTCTTCTCCGACACAGTCCCCAACTCCACGAACCAGGTTGTGGGCAGCAGGGTGGGCACACCCCTGGGGCAAACCCTCATCAGCATGGACTTTTTCTTTGTGGACGGAGTCCGGAAGAAGAAGCTGGAAGCCGAGCTGCAGCCCGTGTAGGAGGAAGAGGAGGAGGAGGAGGAGGGCCGGCTGGCCTGCCCCAGGTGGGTGTAGGGGTGGCGTGGGGAGGGAGGCCAGCCCCAGGGCCCCAGTCAACAGCCCACACGTGTCCGCCAGCCTCTCCTTCTCTCCCGGCCCCGCACAGCCTTCCCGAGGCTCCACTGGCCCATTTTCACACATGAGCTCAGAAGGACTCCAGGAGCTTGCCCGTGGCCCTGGACCCGGCAGCAGTGGGGACCCCTCTTGAGGCCCAGGAGGGGCAGCCCTGGGTCTGCAGTCATGAACTGACTGCCTCGGTTCAAATCCCGCTCCTGACTCTGAGCAGCTGTGTGACGTTGCACGGGTTGTTCGAACCTTCTGTGCTGCTGTAACAAGTAGGCCACACGCCGAGGGGCTGGAAACAGCACATACGTATTATCTCACAGTGCTGGAGGTCAGAAATCCAAAGTGGGTCTCACCGGACTGAAATCAAGGTGTGCACAGGGCTGCGTTGCTTTCTGGCCACTAAAGGCACCTGAGTCCTCGCCTTTTCCAGCTTCTAGAGGAGAGACTGCCCTCATCCCTCGGCCCGTGACTCCCTCCTCTCCAAGCAGAATGGGGGCATCGCCAGTCTCCAAACCTCTCTCGGCCTCCCTCCTTCCATCTTTTCAGACAGCCAGGATAATCTCTCCATCTCACCGCTCTTAATTTAATCATGTCTGCAAAATCCCTTTTGCGTGTAAGGTAACATATCCGCAGGGCCCAGGGACTAGGACACGGATGTCTTTGGTGGGCCATTTTTCTGCCTACCACATACAGAAATAATAAAAGTACTGATTCTAGAAGGTTGTCGTGAAGGTGAGATGAGCTACTGTGTGTAACTGTTCAGAGCAGTGCCTGGACCATGGTATGAGGGTGTGTTTGCACCTCTTGGGAGGGAGGGTTGCATCCTGGTGAATCATGCAGGGAAGTGTGGGTCCTCACACAGGGGCTGCTGGGAGGTCAGCCCCCCCCCATCAGTCTGTCCATCTCTCATTACTGAGTGATGGTCTGGGTGGTCATGGTTAGGCCAGAACCAAGCCGGAAAGAGCCCACCTGCGGAGCCTGAGCTAAGGCCCTGCAAGGGCACCCCTGGGAGCCTGTGCCCCAGACCCACCCCACGCCCTGTGCTCTGCACCCCTGTGCTCCCTGTGCTCTAGGGAGGCCCCTCGTGGAGGGTCCGGCCTGCGCTCAGCCGCAGCAGGAGAGGGGGTCCAGAGGGGGTCTTATTTCCATGTGAGAGACAGGATGGAAGCAAGAGATAGACTGGGAACTCCCAGGAGGTAGGAAAAGTCGAGGTTAAATGCGGATGCAGCCAGAGGAGCCCATGCAGACCGGAGGGAATCATCCAGAACTTCTCCACCTGTGCCCGGGAGGGAGGGTAGGAGGCCCAGGGACAGGCGCAGGACCGGCCACTCCCTGGCAGCAGAGCCGCCTACAGACAATGTGCCTACTGAGTGCGAACTCTGTGCTTGGCACATTACTGAATGGTCACCATTTGAGACATTTGGAAACTAAGTCAAAGACTTCATTCAATCCGGCCGGGATCCCACAGCTAGTGAAGAGCCAGACTCTCGTGACTGACTCACCGTAGTACCCAAGTCTCCTCCCCGGGCCTCAGTGTTCATAGCTGTAAAATGGGGGAGGAGAGTCCGATTCCCAGGAAGTCCCCGGCTCAGGGCTCGGGCCGTGAGCGTGCAAGCATGCAGTGAGTGCTGAGTCGTGCGGGTGTACGCAGTGCATTCGCTGGCTGTGGTCATGCTGGTGTGACACAGCACTCCATTTCCTGCTCACGGATCTGCGTGGACTTGGCTCCAAGCTTCAGATCAAGTGCACACGTCTCTCATTATCTGGGACCCACAGCTTCCCGGGGCACATTCTCGGGGCATAGTGCCAGGGACCGGGAGCCAGACCGAACCACGCAAGGCTTCCATAGGCACACATCCGCTAACGTCTTATTGGCCAAACAAGTCACACGGCCAACCCCAGCCTCACTAAGGCAAGAAAGCACACTTTGTCCACAGCACGAGGCTCAGAAAGCAAATATTGGGGCAGCCCGGGTGGCTCAGCGGTTTAGCCCAGGGCCTGATCCTGGAGACCTGGGATCAAGTCCCATGTCAGGCTCCCTGCATGGAGCCTGCTTCTCCCTCTGCCTGCCTGCCTCTCTCTCTCTCTCTCTCTCTCTCTCTCTCTTCTCTCTCATGAATAAATAAATAAAAATCTTTTTAAAAAAGAAAGCAAATATTGGCTGAGTGATAATCCCAACTGTGATGCAGAGGATCTGACCATTTGCGTGGGTGGCTTTGGGCAATAGTTTTCCGGACGTTGCTTAAAACAACACCAGACATACTCCAAGGATGATGTCCCAGACTCGGTCCTGTCTAGGCTTGGACAAGCCCCGCTAGAGGCAGGCACCAGTTCTGCTCCGGCTTATGGGGCTGTGGACTCAGGAACCCTCAGCCTCAGAGATAGAAGGCTCATCTGAGGGAGTGGAGAAGGCAGGTCCCCACTAGGGGGCTGGGGGAGGGGGGAGTCCTCCTGCAGAAGGAGCCACCCAGCTGCTCCTCGAGGAAAAGTCAAAATTCGGGGAGATGGGGAGGGCAAGGCATTTCTGCTGGATGGGGCAGGCGGCGCCAGGGAGGGCCCCAAGGCAGGGGGATCCCGGAGAGCGGAGATCCCTGCAAGGGCCTCCTCCTGCACTCTGCAGCCCACCTGCGCAGGGCATCATCGCAGGGCCCCCTCCTCATACCAGCCGGCCGGTCTGCCTCAGTGTCTCGCTTGGAGCAGAACAAAGGAGGCTGGCTGGGCCAGGAGGAGAAGTGGGCACCAAGCCTGCGTGTCGGCACAGCAAAGGCAAGAGGGCCGTTAGAAACGAGGAGCTGGGGGATCCCTGGGTGGCTCAGCGGTTTAGCGCCTGCCTTCAGCCCAGGGCGTGATCCTGGAGTCCCGAGATCGAGCCCCGCGTCGGGCTCCCTGCATGGAGCCTGCTTCTCCCTCTGCCTGTGTCTCTGCCTCTCTCTCTCTCTCTCTCTCTCTCTATGTCTATCATGAATAAATAAATAAAATCTTAAAAAAAAAAAAAAAAGAAACGAGCTGAGACATCTCCCCGTCCGAGGCCAGGGAGAACTATAATCAGGGGCTAATGAGCCACACTGAGGCTCAGGGATTCCTTCTTCGCCTTTTTAACTGCTTCTCTGAGCACCTCTGCCTCATTCTCCTCTCTGAGGCAGAGCCAGCGTCTCTGCTCCCATTAAAACAACAACAACAACAACCCACTGTCCGGGGAACATACAAAGTGAGCCTGGAGCCTGCTCCTGTGGCAGAAAGTGGGGAAGTGTTCAAAACGGGATGGGGAGCCTCAAAGAGATGGATGTAAGAGCCCGTCCGAAGGGGCTCCCACAGGCCAAATTTGGGACAAGGTGAGCATCACAGTGATGTCCTTACCTGACTTCACCTACGGCAACCCAGCCCGTACAGCTTCTGAGCAAAGCCCCCACAAATCCCATCAAAGAATAATAATAACAATAATAATAATGAAGCCATGAGTTCATATCAATAAGTTTTAAGTTTTTTAAGTACAGGAAGAAAAGCTCCTCTCTACTGAAGAATGTAGAATAAATGATGAAAACAGAAAATCACCATTTTATCTAATTTAGGTAAGAATCAGTAAAAGACGTTGAAAGAATTATGTGAAAGATTCTTAGGAAGGGATAAACGGTCAAGTCTGGGAGATTCCCATTAATCACATTATTAAATTTAACCTCCCCAACCAGAGGACAGCGGACAGCAGGTGCCTCCTGAGGGGACCCGCTGGGGAGGAGCACCCACGCACGGAGTACCCCCCCCCGCTCCCCATAACCCGAGCCACATCGTGAAGACACACCGGGCACACCCCAGCTGAGGTCCATTCTGCCAAACGGCCGGCCTTGACTCTTCAACCGTCAATGTCATAAGGGACACGGGACGGCTGAGGATGCGACATACATTAAAGGTAGCGCAGAGCATCGTGGGGACCATCTCACACGACAAAGCAAGAGCAGCTCTAGAGGACACTTTGGAGACTAAATATCAGAGGAAAGGCACTAAATAGTAGGCCGAGCATCGAACCGATGTTAGATTCGCACAGCACGATAATTCTATCAAGGTTATGCAGGACAATGTCCCCGTTCCTAAGAGGTATATGTGGAGTAAAGTGTCACGAGGTCTGAAAGTCACCTGCAAATGGTTTGGCAACCACAAAATGTGAGCTCTATATAAATAGAAACCAAGCAAATGTGGATAAAAATGTCAACAACTGATAAACTCCGGTGAAGACCATATGCCTGTTCAGTGAAGTCTTGCAACCTTTCTGTAGGTTTGGGAGCCTTAAAAAAACAAACCAGCAAACCGACAAAAATGGTGACCAGGGGACTGGCCATAACCCGTGGCCCTCCGGAGTTGACGGCTCTCCTACCGAAGAGCCAGGGTGCTGACGGAACAGAAGCAGAGTTCCTCTGGATGGGGACACGTGTTAGGGGCCGGAGAGATATCCCAGAGGGTGTGCACCGCAGAACCCCCATCCCAGCAAATCCCCACCCTCCCGAGGATACAGGGGAGCCCCAAAGCTCAGCCAGCCAGTCGGATGGGCCAACATCCTAGGGGGTGTCCCGGCTGGCACAGGGGGGCTGGGACTCCCCACCTCCCCGCAGAGCCTATCCTTGACTCCTCCTTGGGCAACTGGCTCCTCACAGTTTCAGGAGCAAGGCCGGTGGCCACAAACCCCCAAAACACTCTGCTCATTTGCACTCAGTCAGGAACTACCACATATTAGACGCCTACTGTGTACTTCTCAGTACATTTATGAGGTGGGTATGACTCCCCTCATTTTAAAATGAAGAAATTGAGGCCTAGGCAAGTGAAGGGCTTGCTCATCTCGCGCTGGGAAGACAGCAGAGGTTTGCAAGGCACCTGAGCCCCACACCCACATTAGCCACATCAGAGGCTGCATGCAAAGCAGCATGGGAGAGGCTTAGAAATCCTCTTCCCACAACCCTGCCTCAGCTGGCTCACTCCCAGACCAGGCAGCTTCTGTCTTCGGCCTGGAGATTGTTTGTCCCACACCACAGAAGGACAGCTCTGTCTTACAGGGGTCCCTCAGGCAGGGAGCACTGCCGGGAGAGTGGGGGCAGGCTGGGCCCCGCGCTGGAGCCACTCTCTCCTCTAGCTGTTCCTGGGGACCCCGGAGGAAGGGAGGGCGATCCGATGGGAGGGAGAAGAGGAGCCCCTCGGCGGGGCCAGCAACTTCCAACGTGGACCACCACAGAATGGGAAAGGCCTTCCTGCTTCAGCAGATAAGTGGGACGCCACAATGAAAGTGAAACACCTGCCACGCAGCAGGCACTCCACTTCTGGATGCTTCTACCATTGTCAGTGTGCTGTTGATAAGCCTTTGATGTTTGTAAGAAAGCTCTTTACTTCCTTATTTTACCTCCTACGAGCGGTGACTGTCTGCTGATGAGCAATCTGACCAGGGCCGAGGCCAGCGTGATTCCTACTGCTCGTGTGAAAGCAAGAACAGCCTGCGCCCAAATCGTGTTATCTGAGAACTAGCGGAGTTTACCGAAACCATGGGGGGGACACTCAGTCAACTGTGTAGATCCCTTTTCAGATCCTTTTTCAGATAGAAACTGAAATGACGCCTTGACATACGTGAGACTCGATCCCAAATCCAGGGAAAGCTTAAGTGCTC